GTGGGTCTGGGCGCTGCAGGAGTTCCGGGAGGTGATCGTTGCAAGCCTGGCAACTGAGGTGAGGAGTGGTCTCCAGGCTTAGGCTCTGCCTTGAGTGGTGGTGGGGGGAGGGAGTGGGGGAAGATGGAAGCGCGACCGACAATTTGAAGAGGCAAGTCCTGAGCGAGGGGTTGGGGGCACAGATTAGAGTGGCTGATAGGTCTGGAGAGACTACGTTAGAGATCCAGGACGGGAGGCGACGTTGTTGGGGCAGATTTTCAGTGGAAGGAGTATGAAGTTAGGACATGGGTGTTTGGAGAAGCGAGAGAACCAGAGGACAGAACTTTTGGGGCAGAGATTCTGGACATTAGGACAATTTAGGTCTTCTGAACAGGTTGATTTGGGGGCTCTATAGTCTTCTGGAAAAGATGTGAGAACTTTGGGGCTGTGATTGCAAATATTTGGAGACTTGAGAGAAATAGAGTCAAGGATTTTTGGACTCCCGAGACGCGGTTGCGGGGTGGGAGTGCTGGGGAGAATTCAATACTTGCGTCTTGGAGCCGAATGAGGAGTTTGGAGATGAAGTCCAGAGGCGTTTGAAAGTCAGGTGAACAGGAGAAAGTTGTAGGGAAGTTCTCAAAATTGGGATACCTACTTTCCGAGTTGGGTGAATCAGGGAGCATTTGTCGTCTTTGAGCGATGTGTTGGAGCGTGGGTCTCTGAACCTCTGAGCAGTTTGGGGTAAGAATCTCGGATCTTCAAGAGTTGGAGAGATTGGGAGAAAGTAGTTTTACGGCCGGAGGCTAGGGTGGGGGAGGGGTGTTCCGGGCGTGGAGCTCAAACCTGCAGCCCCGGAGGCAGTGGAGGGCGGGGCTCGGCAGGCACCCGGCAGCTGGACGTCCGGGTTCCCTTCCCCCACCACCTCGGGACCTTGTGCGCATGCCCTAAGGGAGGGTGGGGGGAGTTTCGTCCCATTGGCGAGTCGAGCCCTCTGGGGATTGTAGTGCCTAATCTACGTCAATTTGTGTGCCTGGCGGCTATTGGCCCATGTTTCCCAGAAGCCCCTAGGCCAAATTGGGGCGTGCCTAGATACTGGCTAGAATCCAGGGAGGGGGGGCGGGTCCTGCAGAGCACCGAGTTCTGGTTGGGTGGTTCATCGGGTGGGGCGGGGCTTGGCATCAGTTGTGTTCTACCAACTTTTCCTTTGGGGCGCGCTTTGGGGGAAGCTGAAGGCGTGGGCGAATAGAGAGGAAGGCTGCTTCTCTGCTCTTGGGAGCGCTCTGAGTTAAGGAGTCTCAACAAATAGGTGCCCTAATAGGGCTCTAGGAAGCTCGAATATAGTATGCACTCAAATAAAACTACTGAATGAATAAATGACAATTAACTCTCGTTCATCAAGCACTTCCTGTGTGTTAGACCCGGTGCATATTACACGTGGGATCTCCTTGAGGATGTGGTGAGAAGTATTTTTACAATCCCCATTTTACAGATGAAGAAACTGAGGCCCAGAGAGGTGGCATCACGTCACTTCTCAAGATCGCACAGCTCAGCAGTATCCAAGACAGAATTCAGACCCTGGAGTCCCTACTTCCAGTCCAGGTCTTTGTGCTCCACACCTGTCTGTGTGTGACATGTTTGAAGAAAGGTTTGTGGAAGAACGGTTTTAAGACCCAGAGGGATTTGAGTTAGGATCCTTTGCAGATGAGGATATTGATTCTCAAGATGTAAATTCCTTATTTGAGGCCACAACAGACAAGTAAGTGGGATCTAAGCCTAGCTATGTTTTAAGTCCAGCTCTTGTTTCCTTAATCACATACATTTACTCACCTCCCTAGCCTTGTGGGGTTCAGACCATTTCCATCTTATAGATGAGTAAACTGAGGTTCAGATCATTAAAATCACAAACTATACAGGCATGAGAAAGTGGGATTTGATTTAGCTCAACTGTGTCTGACCTATCATTCCTTTCCACAGAGCATCATGGTGGGAGGCTTGAAGAGGAAACACTCAGATTTGGAAGAAGAGGAGGAGGAAGAGAGGTGGGACTGGGGTCCGGCAGGCCTTCGGAGTTACCAGCAAGCCCTGCTCCGCATTTCTCTAGACAAAGTCCAGCGCAGCCTGGGCCCCCGGGCACCCAGCCTCCGCAGACATGTCCTCATCCACAACACCCTCCAGCAGCTTCAGGCTGCACTTCATCTGGCTCCTGCACCTGCTCTGCCCCCGGAACCTCTCTTCCTAGGCGAGGAGGATTTCTCCCTGTCAACCACCATCGGCTCTATCCTCAGGGAGCTGGAAACTTCCATGGACGAGACCGAGGCCCCACAGAATCCAGTGGATCCCCCGAACCTTCAGAATGACTTGCTGCCCCAGCCTGATCCAGTGTTCTTAGAGGCTCTGAGCTCCCGGTACCTGGGAGACTCTGGCCTGGATGACTTCTTTCTGGACATTGACACATCTGCAGTAGAAAAGGAACCTGCCTTGGCCCCTCCAGATCCTCCTCCTAACCTCTTCTGTGCCCCAGGATCCTGGGAGTGGAATGAACTAGATCACATCATGGAGATCATTCTGGGGTCCTAAAACTTTGAGGGGGATCCTTCTTCCTATCAGTCTTAATTGTCTGGATCCCTGGGTGCAGCTCTGTGTGTCTGGGTTGGTGGAGGTTCTAAGCAGTGACTACAACCTCCATTCCTCCCTTTCAGAGTTCCACAAACTGTCCTGCATGTGTGTGTGTCTGGTTAGCCCAGCCTTCTGTGAAGGTGGGTCTTCCTGACTTAATTTATCTGTTCCAGATGCCTTAATGAGACCCTGTTTCTGGGAGCCCAATTGCTCACACATTTCTTCTGCCATTTCCTTCACTCCCCTTCTGACCATTGGGGTCTCAGGGAAGATAAAGCTGGGCCTGTCAAAGGATGCCAGGGATGTGCTGTCAGATTGCTCTGACCCAGGCTTTTGCACCGTAAGGGAGTTGGAGGGGCTGGTCTCCCCCACCCCTAGGCTGAACCCTACCTCCTTGGCAGGACCGCAGTTCCAGCAGCCTTCTGCTTCATAACCAGGCCGGACCACGTGCAATAGGGTGGGAACCAAACTGCTCCATGCCACGTTATTTAAAAGAAAGGCAGGGTTTGTGGTGGCTTTTTGTTTGTTTTTTAATAAAAATATTTTGGAAGGAATAATGTTCCCTTGAGTTTCTAAACTTCACTGGACCAATGGGAGGGACTTGGTGAGTTTCCTAGTTGTCTGTACCCCTTCTGTATCAAAGTTGCACAGATCATTGTACATAACCTGTAGTAAATCTTTTCTTTAGTTTTGCTATGGGTGCTCACTCAAGAAAGGGAAAATGAGAAATCACCTCCCCTATAATCCCTTAATTTTCTTGGGAGTTTGAGATGTGCCCAATGTGTTTTTCAAGCCTGAGACTCCAACCTGTGCAATCAGCCATGTAGGATCCAGCCGCCTAAACCACCACGCTACTGACTGACCATACTGAGTGCATATTAAGAGCACTGTTCTTGGGGCCAGCAGGTGGTGTGATGGTTAAGACAGCTGGACTCCCTCCCACATGGCTGACCACGGTTCCAGTCCTGGACCTGGCAGCTTGCTTTCTCCCTTCTGTCTCTCTCTGGTCAACTTCAAAAAAATAAAATAATGACAATGAATAAAGTAAAATAATTCTTTAAAAAAAGAACGCTATTCTAACCACTTACCACACTTCACACAAGAAGAACCCAGAGTTCAGAGATACCATTGTTCAGGGTTATGTAGCTAGAAAGGATCAGGGAGCTGGGACTCAAACTTAGTTTGGCCCTCACCATCCTGCGTATGTTGCTTCCTCATAGGATTTAGACAGTAACGTGAGCAAGCACGGGAGGAGGGTTGGGGGTAAGGAAACAGTCACAGAGAATTGTCACGAAATAGGGCTCTCTGGCAGTTAAAAGTCAACCCTTTTGGGACCAGAAGGTGGTATGGTTAAGGATCTGGATTTCCACATAGCCATCCATGGTTTGAGTCCCTGACATAGCTTGAAGATCACATCAGGTGCATGTATTTGTGTGCCCAAGATCCCAGGAGGAGATGTGACCATCCCCCCTGAGGGGTGATTTCTTATTTTCCCTCTCTCTGACAAGTACATGTGCCCAATGGCAAAAAAATATTTAAAAAGGAAAAAATTAAAAACCCCTTTTGGGGGCTGCAGGTGGCCTGGAGGTTAAGGCACTGGACTTGGACATGTCCAACTTCGTCATTTGAATCCTGGACCCAGTGGCTTGAAAAACATGCCAGGCACATGTGTATGCGTTCCCAAAATGTCTAGAGGAGAATGGAGGTGAAGGGATTGTGACAGGACTATCCTCCCCCTCCCCAGATGATTTATCACTTTACCTCTCTGTCTCTCAGACAAGCATTTTTTTTAAAAAAGGGGGGGAGGGGGCCCAGCAGCAGCAGGTGGTGTGGATAAGGGTGCTGGATTCCCACATGGCCAACCATGGTTCAAGTCCTGGACCTGGTGGCTTGCTTTCTCACTTTCCCTTTCTCTCTCTCGTCAAATAAAGAAAAAAAAATAACAATAACAAATGGAAATAAATAATTCTTTTTGAAAAAAACAAAAAACCTTTTTGTATAAAAAGTGCTAATGAGGGGACCAGCAGTTAGCATAATGGCTATGTCGCTGGACTCCCACGTAGTCGACCGTGGTACGAGTCCCGAACCCGGTGGCTTAAAACTCACGCTGAGTGCCTGTGCGTGCGTGCCCAAGATCCCAAGAGGGGAATAGAGGAGAAGGGATTGTGGCATGGCCATCCCCCCTGGGGGGTGATTTCTTGCTTTCTGTCTATCTGTCTGTCTGGTGAGCACACCCGCCCTATAGCAAAAAAATCTCTCCAAAAAAAAAAAGTGCTAATGAGGCTGAGAGGAAAAAGAAAATGCCCATAAAACCTCCAGTACTAAAAGATCTTGTCAAACATTTTTTTTTTTAAATTCATGATAATGCTCATGTGCATGAGAGAAAAGCACCCTGTACAGGGTCTCATCATGCTGCAGCTCCCTTCCCCCAGCCCTTCAGTTTATCAGGATTTCGGGCATACCCCTATGCCCTGCTTCTTTCAGGTAGATCAAACGGGATTCAAACCCACAGCCATGTGACTTCCAGCACTGTCGTGCAATGTTCAACAGACTATACCATCTTTGCTGGGCCAAAAGGTCTTTTCAGGAGACAGTTGACTAGGATGCATTGTCCAGGCTAGAGTTAGGGTGCTCATGTTTTCCTTGGGAAGTGCAAGCACACGCTGGTGAGAGTGAGGGAAAAAGAAGAGAGAGGACAGGAAAGACGCAGTGATCTGGTGATCCACTGTACTAGCTATGCCTTCACAGAGACCTTTGAGAGACACGGCAAGCCACCTTATTGCAGCCTTAGGGACTTTTCTGAGAGCATTGCAAGGAGGAGCCATGGCTGAGACTAGCCCTCCAGCAGAGAAAGGATGGGGATTTTTGCCTGTGGTTTCTGGCTCAGTACCAGATTTCTCACCCTGAGGGAGACACTGCATCTAAGGAAGTAGAGCAATAAGCTAAACAGGTGGATGCCCATCCAGGGAGGGAGAGGTGGTCAATGCAATCTCAAGAAAGCACATGATGAGCCAGCAGGTGGCATGGAGATTAAGGCACTGAATCTCACACTCACTGGGATTCAGTGCAGTGCCATAACTGCGAGGTTTGAGTCCCAGACCTGGCACCTTGAAAAACATGCTGGGCGTGTGTGTGTGTGTGTGTGTGTGTGTGTGTGCCCGCCCAAGATCCCAAGAAGAGAATGAAGGAGAAGGGAGTGTGGTGTGGCCACCCCCCCTGGGAGTGAGAGGTCCTTTCTCACAAACCTCTCTCCAGTGAGCACATGTCCTGTAGTAAAAAAAAAAAAAAGAAAAAGAAAAAAAAGAAAAAGAAAAAGAAAGCACCTAAAGTCTGCATTCCAATATGGATGCCAACTGAATCATGTCTTTCTCCTTAAAACCTCCAGTGCCAGTTGTAGTGGTTAAGGCACTGGACTCCGACATGGCCAACCACAGTTCTCTCTCTCTGGTGAATACGTGTGTCCTATAATAAATTTAAAAAATAATCATAATAAAAGTAAATACATTTTCTTAAAAAAATGTTTTAGGGTCCAGCAGATGTCATAGCGGTTACATTACTGGACTCCCACATGGCTAACCACAGTTTGAGTCCTGGACTTGGTGACTTGAAACTCATGCTAGGCACCATGCCTGCCCAAGATCTTGGGAGGAGGAGAGAATGGAGCAGGGATTGCAGTGAGGGTATCACCTCTGGAGGTTAATTTCTCACTTTCCCTCTCAGTGTCCCCTTGTTCACACCCCCCCCCCAAAAGCACATGGGCCTTAGTTGTTTTGTTTTGCCATAGGGCACATGTGCTCACCAGAGAGAGAGAGAGAGAAGAGAGAAGGAAAGTGAGAAAGCAACCCCCAGGAGGGATAGCCAAGCCACAATGCCCTCTCCTCCTCCATTCTTTTCTCTGGATTTTGGGCACAACACACACAGGCACCGTGTCTTTCAAGATGCTGGTTCTGGGACTCCAACTGCACAGGTGGCCATGTGGGATCTAGCGCCTTAACCACCATGCCACCTGCTGGCCCCCACCTCACCCTTTTCTTAGCAATCCCTGTTAACCCGAAAGATGACCGAGTGAATGGGACTTGTGTGCAGTTTGGTAATACCACAATGAGGCCAACCAATATGAGGAGCACTCCCATTTTCCCAAAGAACAAACTGAGGCTCAGAGAGGCCCAGTTCCTTCCCGATAGCGCAGGTGCTAAAGAACTGGCCACAGCAGTGGCAAAGCTGGTCCTGCAGAAGGAACAGGCCCTTAGGACAGAGTCCATGTTCTCCAGCTGCCCTCCCCCGCCGTCCCGCAGAGGAGAATGGGCCCGCGGCCGGTCTCTGGGCGTGGCCGTAGAGGCTGGGTCCCTCCTCCCTGCCCACTCTGTCCGGGCCCGCCTGCTGGCGGGACACC